GGATGGATGGATGGATGGATGGATGGACAGTCCATGTGATTCTGGGTGAGTCTCATAGAAAGTCTCATATGGTGTAAATGTGTGGAATGTGAGACATCACCAACATTGAAAACAACACATTGTTTTTGTGTTCACATAAACTTGTGGTTCTTTCAGAATCATCGGTGGGAGAGAAGTAATTCCAAAATAAATCAGGCGGCTTTTTAAAGCGCTTTACTTGTTGATAAAAATTTGACAACTGAGGCATCATGGATGACTTTTGTTTCCTTTTCTTCGATAGATATGTTATTTTGCTCATAAATTCATACCGCTGAGAGTCACCGGGATACATGACTCAACTGCATGATGATGCTGTCAGCATCGCTGCAGGGCAGAAAACGCTGTTTTTGTTCTTGTTCTCATTTAATGAAAGATTGTAACCATGCTGTGAAAACCTATTGAGCCCCTTAGCATGGGTTTAGCTCTGGAACGCTCCCATGAATCCCATCTCAGTCCATCCGGGACTCTTCCTAGTTGTTTAATCATGACTGCTGACCTTAACTCTTCCACAAAACGTCTGAACATTTTATGTAAGTCAATTAAAACTTACTTAATTGAGAAATAAGTTTAAAAAATATATATTTAAAAAATATATATGACTTAAAACCACACTATGTAACTGTTATTAAAAATATGTCTACCATGTCATGAATGTATGGTATTAGGCAGATAAACTGTGAACAGATCGATCTCCTCCTCCCTGAGCTACTATTGTCGTCTGAAGACATGCTCCAGGTGAAAAACAAACAATCAGAGCCAGGAGGCGGGTCTTAATGCTGTCAATCAATCACATGAATATACTGTTAAATGTACCTACGGCAGAGAAACAAGTGAAATCTGTATAAAACATAAAATACCATTTTCCCTGTGCTGTATCAGGTCTCTGGTGACTGTGGTTTTCTGAAAGAATCCAAACTAAGTTCAGTTTTGCAGACTAGAGCAGCAGGCATTGGCCCTTCTTTCTCTAGTGCTGTAGACATAATTGTCCTCATGCAACAAGGTTTCTCTTACTCCGAATAATCAGTGTGATGATTGGTAATGTAATCATTTCCTGAATGAGCCATAGAATCTATTTACTTGCTTTGTTTGTGTTGTTGTTGATCTATTAAAGCAAGAGTATTCATTTTCTGTTCCTGGAACATCTTTAATAACGTCTGAATAATTCATGTTGCTTGTGAGGCTCAGCATTTTACTGCTGCTTTATATACAAACTGTTTTACAAACTCCAGCTTTTCCTTTTGTTCGCTTTTGCAGGTCTTTCAGGGCCTTCTTTGCACTTTCTACAACCTTGGGGACGGAGAGTATAACCTGACCCTACCCAGCTATCGCCTTGACAACGGCGAGTGGCACGAGGTCTCCTTGGACAGACATGACAACGAGATGACGCTGCGGCTGGATGGCGGCGGAGGGAAGCGGGAGGTGACGGGATCGCAGAGTAGAAGCCGAGAAATCATCATCGACCCGACCGCCGTGATGCTGGCGAACTCCTTCCCCTCGGAAAGCAACAAGAGCTTTCAAGGTGGGTAAAAACGGCGTGCAACTTGGTGTGTATTCTGCAGGTTTTAAGATCAAAGGTCCAGAATGATTTTGTACATTGTAATCTTTAGAAACTCCAAAACGTCTCTGTGTTGGTTCCCTTTCTGAGGCATTGTCAAGTCTGTCTGTAACTTCATCCTGTCACACCACAACCATGTTTGTTCTTAACATTTGTCTGAATTATCACTGTTGAAAAGGTTGATGGGAATGACAAAATGTGAAAAAACTTCCTCTGTTTTGAAAAACAAAAGTTGTCGCGCTCGCTAGAGTTGGTTTTTGGTTTTTCTGAAAAAGCGCTAATGGACTAAAAAGAGTTTATCTGCCAGAGCTTGGAAATAAATGCCGGCGCAGCATCATTTTAAAACAAGAAAACCTTCTCGCTGCAACAAGATTTAAAAACTTATGTCTCAATAAAACCAAAATATCATCTCCTTTAAGTAAGAAACAGCAGAAGAGCAACACCTCTTGGGATTTTTTGATGTGGTCCAGAATAACCAGGAGGAGAGTCACAGTGCGCCTCTTTACGCCTTTTTACAAGTCATAATTAGTCAGAGGAACGTAAAGTTATATCCCGTTAAAACAAGAAACTTTGAAACTTTATAGTGAGATATCAAACTCAACTTGTTTTAATGGAAAGGTTTCTTTTTAAAATGTAATATAAAACAGGTTTTACTTATTCTAATGAAAAACGTTCTTGTTTTAACGCGGTTTGCGTCTCATTGTAACAAGATTTTCTGGTTATAACGAGATGCTGCTCCTGGATTTATTTCCGGCTCTGGCAGTGAAACGCCTCCGTAAGATAGACGCACATCATCCAGATAAGTTCTGTGGTAACAAACGTTTACCTCACACTACTGATTAACTGTGTCTTTCCTGTCTTTGATGCGGACAGCAGGTGACATCACCGATGCTAGCTGACAGGACAGAACAACTACAACATATCCGATAGCATCACATTCCTAAAAACCTCTCTTTATCTTTCTCCATGCTAGTTTATTGCAGCCATGCATAACATTATTGTCTGATGAAATTATGCTATGCATAGCCTGGTTGATTCACTCCAAAGAGCAGAAACACGCTTAATTTGCATTTTCTTTGTTGAGACTTTTTGAAAGTTTGCATGACAATTTGATTGAAACATAACCAGCATGTCTGTTACCTCTGACCATAACACAATGTCTCATGTCTGTTTAAAGTCTACAGTCATATTTATAAAGCTCATTCAAAGTCAACACACCCTTTTAACTTTTTCACGTCTTTTCACATTGCAGCCTAAACCCCTCAGTGTATTTTGTTAGGATATCGTGTTATTAACCAACACCGCCGTGAATATCGTGAAGTGAAAGGAAAGTGACACATGGCGTTCCCTTTTTTTTCTCATCTTCATCGAGTCTGAAAGGTGCAGAGTGCAATTGGTATTCACTCCCCTCCTCCAGAGTTGCACATCTGCTCATCTATGCAAAATACCTCAGGCGTAGTTGAGCTGTTTTTTTCTTTTTTAGCACTGGGAAACACATTTGTCTTTCACACTTATAACACATGACCATGCTTTGACACATGAAAAGCACCTGACCAATAAATTTGCAGGTGATACCACAGGAGTGGAAGTCACACCTGGAATGATGGCTCAGTGTACAGGAAGGAAGAAGTGTTGATGTGTTTTTTTTCTCTTTCTATTTCATGAGTTTTCATAGTAATAAAGGGACATGAAAAAGCCGTCACACCCTTACAGATTTTTCTTTTTTTGTTGTTTTTAAATGTAAATCTTTCAGAATATGAAACAAATATTTAATAGGAGACTAAGACCAGTACTTTACATGTTGTTCTGAATTCTTGTGTTTCCTCAGGAATGAGTCACTGATCTGCATTTGGATTCATTTTTGTCTTTCTACTGGTGACTTTCGGGCCTACTTCAGTTTCTATTTAAATTGATTCTTGATTCCACAGGTCAGGCAGTAATCAGGAAATTGAACCAGGAAATTGTGGGTAATTATACTTAATTGATGATTAAATGTGGGGGAAAATCATTTTTGGACACAGCACCACGTTGGTTTGGTTGGTATTTTCCAACCTTAAAGGAAATTATAACTTCAAAACTGCATTTTGTTTTACTCAAGTTGACTTTGTCTGGTATGAAATTTGATACTGAAACATTTTAGAGTTAAAAAGTAAAAACGGAAGCACTCACTACGGGGGCAAATATGTTTTTAACTTATGTTATAGATCCCCATCTTGTTTTGATCTGTTAAAAATGTGAATGAGAATCAGCGAGGTAACACCCGGGTTGAAAGATTCCATTTCTGTTCCTTTGATATTTCATATTTCATCTCCACTGTTTGGATGGGATTTTTTTGGTTTTGTTTTTGTGTTTTTGAAAAGCCACAGGAATCATTCAGGCCGGTGTAGAACAATTGATTGAAGTTCAGATCTGTCCTTCTGATTCTTGTTATGAATCCAGCTCTGCTCGTCTGTGAAACACAATAATGAGTTTGGACTTTATTTATCTGTCTATTCATCCCGTCTTATGAGGTCTACCGCTCGATTATAACTGGTTTGAACTGCTGTCGCCGCTGTCACTTCAAAGCATGGAATAAGTAAACCTTTATCCTAAACACTGTAAATAAATGAGTCAAAAAGGAAAAAGGTCGGGAACTTTTCTTTCATGGTGCAAATAACAGACGTAGCAAAGCATCTCAGGTGACAGCCAACACTTAAACAGAAATCAAGGAATGCAACCGCATTCCAAATAAATTTGGCAGGCCATCTTTCCTACATTCACCACTTGAAGTTTGAAACGGAGTAAAGCTTTAAATATGATGTGACATGTTTGATGTGTCACAGTAAAAGTAAAAAGCGTTGTTTTGCCATTGAGTGCGTATGAGATGGGTTAAGAAGGTTTTTTTATCCAACAGGCGCCACTGAAAATAGATTCTTTTATCTATTCATATGCAGCCTCATCAGGGTGGGATTGTGACATTTCTGAGCGTTAATGAATGATTGATATGACACTTTAATGGCTAATTCATTCAAACGATCTGGATGGCGTGTTTCCCCAGAGCTGGCTGCTCGCTCCACAACAACGCTCAGATTAGTGACCAGCTGAAGGCAGTACACTGCTTCACAAACAGATTTATACTCACTGAACTTGTATGAAAAAAAATGTTTCAGCTACTTTAAAAGTTAGCTTTACAGATTTACAAAAGATGAAAAAAGTTGGATGAAACGTGCCCTGTGTGGGCCTGGGCTGAAAGAAACATTAAAAAGACAGATTTTAAATTCACACAGGGATAAAGACCTTCATTTTTGGACTCAGCATTTAAAGTTTTCACCCAGGAAGTTACAGTTCAGAGGCAAACTGGCCTTCCAAATGTAAAATGACCCTCAACGTACTGCCACAACGGTTACAAAGTGGCTTAAGGACAACAAAGTCAATGTTTTGGCCTGGCCATCATAAAGCCCAGGTGTCCAATAGAGAATCTGTGGGCAGGTTAAAGGTCTTCCTGACTCTGTCCCATCAGTTCTGTCACCATCAATGAGCCAGAACTTCAGCAAACTACGGTGAGAAGCTTGTGGAGAGAAAACCCAAAACTGATGACTGGGGACAAACGATATTAGATTTGTGATTGATATCCAATATGCCGATATACTAAAACTCATTTGGCTGATAACCGATACCAGCACCAATATTTTTTTTTCCCCTGTAAATACTTACTGAAACTATATAGCTTCTCTATTGTGGAAATAAAATACTGCATTATCTTTGTCAACTTACCAAATGCAAATGCTAAAAAGATGCTGAAAATGATGAAACACTTTCAACTTGCTTTATGTTTAATGTCAAATTTATTCATGACATTTGCTCTCTTTAAGACAATGACAACATTCAAACAGAGCACATTTGATGTAGTTCTGTGCTACAGGCATCATTGTCACTGGTTTGTCATATAAAAACAGCACCTTTTACATCAGTGAGTTATTTTGACGGAATGGCCAATGTCCTATTTAAATTTTACAACTAATATTGGCCGATAGCGATACCAAGTCATACAGTGAAAGGCAAAGCTACCAAATACTGAGGAAATGTAAGTAAACCTCTGATTTTAAAGACATTAATAAACAAATCTGACATATTTTTCACATTATTGTGGAATTTAGCAAAGAGAAATAATTTTGCTGATTCTAAATGACATAAAACAGGAGAAGTTTGATCCGATATAACTTCAGACAGTGGGGAGAAAAATATGTCTTTTTATTCAGTGTATGTAAACTTGTGGTTTCAACTGTACAATGTTACCATGAATGATTCTTTGTGCTCATTAATTATTCTAATTCCTGTGCATCCTCTGCAAATCTCATCTCTTTACAGATATGAAAGTAGTTCAGATTTATGTCTGTTTTTTATTTAAATAAAAAAATTCAGGACTTCTTTTCTTATTTCACCATCCTAGCAGCCAGCAAACAGAGGCTCCTGTCATCGCCTATCAAACACCTGCAGTGCAGCTTTGACATCCATTCCCAGATGGCTTGACATATATTTTTACATTAAATCGGGTCATGCATAATGTCTTGAACAGGCAGGTGGAGACCTTAAAACAGTTAAACGACACAAAAGGTCATCTTCATACGCCAGGTCATTACTGTAAGTAATAATTTGTTCTTAATAACTGACCTGGTTAAATCAAGGTTAAATAAAAAGTGTAAGGGGTGAATGCAAGAAGATATTTAAAAACCTTTCAAACATTGGAGTTTAAAACACACACAAAAGGCAAGAAAAAAAAGTTGTTCTCTCTTTCAGCACTTATGTGTCTAAGGAAACAATATTTTTTGGTTTGGAAAAAGAGTTACTGTTTGATAATTGATAAAGAAAAAGGTCAGAAATAAAAGATGCAGGCACAGAGTGAAAGAGAGCCTGAGAGCTCCCCGGAGTTAGACAGTAAGACATTTAGACAGCTGCGCCTCAGGCAATAAAAGACAATGCATGAGTTTATTAAATGGCTTTTTAAAGCATTTCTTTTCAACAGAGGCAAGACTGATAGATTGTGGCAGGGAATGAGGGACTGAATATGTGCACATTTGTTTGGATTTACTTTTGTGAATATCTTTCTCTAAAATGTGGTAGCTAGGGAAAGAAATGTTTACTAAATACAATAAGTTGGCAGATAGGAGATTAAAAACAGAAATACTGGAAATATGTCCTCAGACACATTGATTTATACCTAATAACACGCCATGGAGCTTCTGTGCAATAAACAAAACACATGTTGATCGATTTAAAGTAGAAAATACTGTCCTCATTATGCACATTAAACACATATAAGCCGGGGGTTGTTTCAGTCAGTTCTGGCCTAATCGTTTCGGTGTAGCATGTTTACCACACAACTGGACAGTGTGGAGCACAGCACAAGTTCAAACTGAGAATTACATTTTAAGTACATCTCAAAACATTTGAAAAAGTTCAATATTTTTTGTCACTTATTTCAGAAATGAAACTCTTGTATCAAGGAGAGTGAAATATTTAAAACATTTATTTCTTGTTTGGACGGTTATTACTTAAAATCCTGTAAGAAGAAAATAAGAAAATCTGTTTTTACCTCTACTTCCCACCTGCAGGTCTGACATTTATAATGTTTATTTTTGCAAGCATGCTGTGAGCTCAGGAAAGTAAACGTGTTTCTTTATGTGCATTTTGAAGTTTTACATTAGAGTTTGATGGAAATGGCAAAATTTGAAAAGCTGTCTTCAATTTCGCAAACATTTTTTTTCCCCAAAAAGAGTTAATGCATTAAAAGAAAGATGGAAACATGTTTACTGAATAAGTTTTAACGTAGAGAACTTTCCCAACCCAAACCTCCAGCAGGGAGTGGAGGACTGTCAGCCTGCAGTGGCCAGAGAGAGGCACTCTGGGCTGGGATAGGAGTGGTGGAACGCTCCCATCTACTGGTGGGTCTGTGTCTTACCAGAGGCACGAAGCTCTGAGAAATGTCTAAGTACAAACCTCTAGCTTGAAGGGGACGGCTCTCTCCATTTTTCATAGATATTTGCTACTTTGCAGCGCCTGCATCTTGTTTATTACGTCAACACCTGATGAAGTCATGGTTTGCATAGCTTGGTTGATTCCTTCTGATCCAGTAGATGGAAAAACTTTTTATTTTAAAAGTTTTCTCAAAATTTGCATAACAATTGGATGGAAACATAGCTAAAGGAGATTAGCTATCTCCTTTAGCTAGGAAAGGTCTGGTTGACAGCAGACGCTCTGCAGTGGTTGTAGTTTTCTTGTCAGCAACATGATGCTGACAAGAACAGTTTATCTCTGTCCCTATGGAGTATCATAAAGATCCATTTCTGGGCCTCTGTTTTTTCTCTCCTCCTTCCAGGTTGGAGCTATTTTCAGAAGCATAACATTTCCTTTCATGTTTTAAGTATGTTACACCCAAGTTTATTTCCTCTGAGGTGCATGGCTGGATCCTCTGTCTAGCCTCTCCCTGATTGCCTCGTTGACCTCAGACGAAGGGCTCTTCATTTACTGAATCTTAATGAGAAAAAAACACTGAAGTCATGCTGTTTAGGCTTAATGAAACCAGAAAGAGCCCATATATCAACACTTTCTTCCTGACATCACATGACACAAATTTGGCTGATTGAATTTGGAATGCATCTCTGATCTAAATTTCATGGGTGAAATATATATTTTTTATTTTTCTCTTGAACTTGCTTTGGAAGAAAGTCTGTTGTGTGGAAATGAAACGCTGAACAATAATTCATTCTTTTAGAGCCTTCTTTCTGGATTACTGTAACCCACTTCTTTTTGGAGTCAGTCAGTCTTCCATTTCTCACTTCCAACTGGTACAAAATGCTTCGTGCACACAAATTCTGACTTATCTCCTCCGCCTCCTTCCAGTTTGTTTCTAATTTATTTTCCAAGGTGCTTTTATTTGTTATAAATATTTTAATATCTGTGCTCTTTTTTATTCATTTAAATTGTTGCACCCATATGTACAATCTCTATTGTTCAGGTTAGTGCACCAGATATTTTTATATGTTCCAAAGACGTGATGCAGACTCAGAGGTGATAAAGCGCTGCAGCTCCAAAACAGTGGGATGCTTTGTAATTGCACGATAGACAGACACTTTCACTCACTGTTGTGAAGTCTAATTAAAAATATGCTTTTACTCTCTTCCTTTGACTTGTTGTAATGAATATCATCCACTTTATTTTATTTTACTCTACTGTTTTGTCCTACATGTTTTAATTGTTGTATTATATGTAATATAGTTATTTTTACAGCTCCTGCGCATCTGTGTACCATTTTTAAATCTGACAGTGTAAAAGCTGTTGGTTTCCCATCCTGATAGGAAGCCATATGACCTAATTACCAAATTTCCACTGATTTCTACAAGAGTAAAACTAAAGACTTTGACTCTCCTATCAAGTACTCAATTGGTTGGAATCTTACAAAAAAGACAAAACTGGAATTTCTTTGATTCAACTTAACTTTTCATAGAGGACAGAAGCCACATGCAGGGCACACCAAGGTTCAATCCTAGGGTGTCTCTTATTCAATATGCTCCCACTAGCTCAGGTTATATCAGGGAATAAGATTAGCTACCATAACTATGCAGATGATATACAGCTCTGCATTACGATGTTGCCAGGTGACTCTGAACCCAACAGTGCCCTGAACAAATGCTTAGAACAAATCAATAATTTTCTCCAGAACACTCCAGAAGCAAAACTGAAGTTATTATATTTGGACCTAAAGAGGAACAATCTAGAGTCAGCACACAGCTTCAGTTATTACAGCTAGAAACTAGAGATATCCGGGTTTAGTGATGGCCGGTGCTGGCAACAGAGAAGGAGGTTACTGCCTTGCGTTAGCTTTGGAGAAGCTAGAGGCTAGCACACGGTTAGTCACACATTAGATTACCTACTAATTCTGCTTAGGAGGAGAAAAAATTAGGTGGAATCACCCTTTAGCTATCTGCTGAATTGGAAACCTCAGTCAGAAGCCAACTTCAGCTCGGCATAGTATAGTATCTTTATACTTGGTGTCACATTGGATGTCAGTAAACTCACATGTCAATAAATCTAATGTATGATTCTTACAGACAGTGTATGTCAACTATCTTGATAAAGTTTCCTTTAAAGATAAAAGTATGAGTCGAGGGTAAATGGCCTTTAGGCATGCTAGTAGCTTCCTGGCCAACGGTAATGCTAGCAAATTCAATGCTAACACTAGCTTATCCGTGCTAATTGCCAACAGATAAGAAAACAAATTCAGTGAGTGACCAGCCTAAGGATGCTAGTCACTAACCCCTCCAAAGAGAACATAAGTGAGTAGTCTCTTTCTCATTTGCCCGCACCGATTGCTGAGTCACAAACCGGCCTATCCGAACTGTAGCTGGCTTCAGAATGGATATAGCCTCCTACGACAAGGAAGTAGCCATCGCTGGGTACTCAGCAGTCTGAACTTTATCTCTGAAACCAAACCACAACGAAACACTCCAACACCACTATGATGGTTAATAAATGGCAGCTATGAGATCCAAACTGCAGCACTGCTAACATAGCTTCCTTCACTGCAGCGAACAAGTGGACAATTCTAAATTGGCTAGAAATGTCACTGAACTGACGAGCTGTGGGTTAGTTTAGTTTTGGGTTCAGCTGGAGGTCGGCTCAAAAGTTCACAGAAGTGCATATCAAGCATTAAGCACTTTATTCCTTCTGTACCTGGTTCAGCTTCAGCTCCTGCTGCGTTCCGTTCAATCACTGACTGGTAGCTTGATCACAAAGGATGTGTTTATTTTAATTGCTGATTGGAGTGAAGGTTCCTCCACTATGGTTTTAATAGATACGGCGTTGCTGGCAGACTTTTGCTATAGGTGAGCAGGAGTTTAGCGGTTTGCTCCAAACGGATATTTTCAGTGTCTAACAGCCAGTGATCACACTCCACTTTGATAAGTTTAGCAGGTGACTGCACCAGAAGAACTTTTAATTAGTGTAGATAACAAAGCACTATGGAACACATAATGGTATATCCCATATGCATGGAAATCATTGACTTTAATCCTCTTAGTGCTTTTCCCCTCCGTCCCCCATTATTCAGCAACTGACGTAAAACATGTTGGCACTCTGCAGAACCTTTTTGGTGAATGAAAAAATAAACCAGTTCTTTAATCTATCAGTAACATGGACTTTCAAGCTAAACTCTATTTAATTTTATGTTTGGGTAGATGAATTCCTACAGCAGCATTTCCCTGTTCCTCTGAGTCCTCCACTTTGGTTCCTCCTTCTGCAGGCTGCATCAGGGATCTACGCCTCAACGGCCGTTACATGCCACTAGACAGCCAGCCACGGGACGGGGTTTCCCAGGTCAGCGTGCAAGGGCTCTCCGTCGGATGTTCATCAGACTCCTGCAAAAAGTACCACTGTAAAGCCCCGTTTACCTGCGTGGACTTGTGGAGAGTGCACGAATGCAGGTACACACTCATACACACATGTAGCTGGTATAGATTTCAATCACTCTGGGAGGCTTACAGTCATTTTCATCTTTTTAGGTCAAAGCCACAACGACTGACTTTTTTTGTGTATTCTTCAGGATTTGGATTTATTTGGGATCAATCAAAGATCATTGCACTTCATTTAAAGATTATTAGCGTAATCAACTAGAGTTAATCCAGTCAAGAATTACATATTAATTAAACTCATTTCTATTCATTAGTTATCAACTGAACTAAGAAACACGCAAACAAATATGAAGGTTAAGAAAGACTAAAAATAACATTTCTACATTATAAACAACTCTGTAAAAGAGGAAGTTTTATGACAAGGCAATGAACTTTCAAATTATTGTCTAACCTGAATAAAGATAAAGAGTTCATAAGTCTCACAGAAACCTACAGTTTCCCCACAGCCTAAGAGTTCTAATACCTCTTAGACAAGACGGTGAAGCCCAGATTTAGATATAATCTTGTTCTGCCATCTTTTGTCACCAGAGCTGCAACAACCAACCAGGAAAAAACTCCTTTATTGATCAGCTTGTATTTGCACCCAGGCAGTTCTTCCACCTCAGTCTGAGAGTTAGTCACATGTCTCAACAATAGAGGTTTGGACTCCCAAAGTGTTTTTGTGCACAGGCTTTCACTAATCTGGAGCTTCTACACTTTGGATTACGTTCAGAATTGGAATGTTAATGCTTCAAAATTACTGACACTTAGGATATGTTCAATATGTTTGGAGGAAAACTGGAATTTACTTAAAGAGCTTTACTTAAAGAAAAAAAAAAAACAAAAAAAAACAGATAAAATCATTGGAGGGCATCCAAGCTTTCAAAGGTCATTCCTCACTTTGACTCTGTTAAGCAAAACCTTCTTGATGGACTCCTGACTTCTATCAGAGTCTATCAAATCTACTCAATGGGAGTTTGTACTTCTGTCCAAGGAAATGGCACAAAGAAGCGATCAATAAATAAGAAGAGGAATCAGTGGTAAAATGAGAGGAATCATAATAGACGGTTAATAAAAACTCATTCAGGTATTTTTTTCTCAAGCACTTTTTGGATCAGGTAACAGTTAGCTCTGTTGCCTTTCAGCAGGAAGGTTATGGACTTCAGACTTTGTACATTGAATTAGCATGTTGTAAACATGACCACGTAAGATCTCTCTGTGTTCGAGACGCACCGATCTGATACTAATATCTGTATAAGTTGCTGTTTTAAAAAAATAAAATCTAGATAGGCTGTCAGTGACAATGAATCCAATCCACAAGGGCAGATCTATTGAGTCTAACTTTATGCTTTGTGCTCTGAGTGCCTCATGCTTTATAATTTATTTTACATTATGCTTTGAATTCCTAATTGCACTTTCTGAACCATTTGAAAGTTTTGTTGCAGTTCATTTTGCATTGGCTCTTATATGCCTAATTGAACTGAGTGAACAAATCAAAATTGTTTTTACATGTTTGGCCAAATTTGTGAAGTTATTGGTGTTTTTAAGCGTGTTGTACTGATGGAGCGTTATCAAATGCATCTGTTGTTCAGTGCATCTACGTCTGTGTTTAAATAAAGAAACATTTTAAGTAAATTCAGCTGTTTTTCTGTTTTGAATCAGTATCAACAAATCCAATTCCAATACCTGAGGTTTCGTATCAGAAGAGAAGAAACTCCGGCTTCCTCCCCTTCTAAAAAGACATTTTTGAACAGACCTAAACAAAAGCAGTGGTAAATCTCAAGGAAAAAGAAAACATGTATGTTCACCTCTTATGAGGTGGAAACATTCTGATGTAAATTCATCAGTTCACAGGAAAGCATTTTATAGAAGTCTGGAAAATAAGTCTTTTGCAGAAGTTTACCAATTTAACACATGAAGAAACATAGCTAAAAAATAACCTGATTTAAAAATGAAAAGAAATAAAAAATACAAGTTTTAGTCTATTTCTATAACATTCAGATTGCAACCCAAGGTGTAGTTATTTCAGGCCTGAGCACAAACGTAAAACACTTTCAGTGAATCCAACTATGACTTTTATTTCACACCAACTCCTATAAATTCTCTATGATTGAAGAAATGCTTTACCCTAATGCTACATGCAGTCACATTTTCACATAATTATCTATTTTTATGTTTCTGTTTAGATCTAGCACATCACCGCTGAAGTCACCAGTATAATGTGTTCCATACCAAAGATTGCTTCACTAAATAACCAGCGTTGTACGCAGGAATCAATGTGTTTTCTACTCCCAGGCTCTTCAAAAAATAGTTTCATAGATTGCCTCGGCGAACACTCAAATCTCAATACAATTTATAATGAAACTCTCAGGTAAAGTGCCATCATTTATCAAGCATAACACAATTTTGCCAAATACTTTGGGAAATGTTGGGTGTTGAAGGATCCTGTAGTTTAGGAGTAAAAGCCGAGATTGTCATGAAATGTGTGGTTGGTGGTGGTGAGGAGATGACACAGAGAACCCAGGTTATGGTGAAGATGAATTTAATGATGAAGATAACTCATAGAGTCCAAGTCAGGCAGCACGGCAGGAACAACTAGCACGCAGCTAACAACCGGTAGCAACTGACAGCATCAAACAAGAGCGTCGAAAACCAGGACTTAAACAGTTCTACTGGAAAACAGACTAAACAGGAACCAGCACAAACCAGGACTTGCCAGTTCCACTGGAGAGTGCCGACTACATTAGACATAGACAACGACAATACACACGACGAGGATCCGACACAGACAAAGACAACAGGTGGGGTTAAATACACAGGGAAGGTAATCAGGGAACGGGATACAGCTGGGAGCAATCAACAGGGAAGACACAGAGACAGACTCACAGGACTACACAGAAACTCAAAAATAAACACACAGAAACACGGAACATGACAGAGATATCATCTTTGGCTGCATATTCCTGCATTCATCTCTTCAAATATTTTGTTTTCAGCTCTGTTAGTTAAACAAATGTGCATGAGTAAATAAAGTAAGGCCATTAAATGCCTTCCAGGTGACGGTCGCAGCGGCTCAGAGGAGTCTCCTGCTGTTGTTTCCTCTCTGCTGGCCCTTCACTGCTGGCTTCCAGAAACTTCACTGGATCTCCAAACAGTTTTCATCTCCCATTCATTTCCAGTTACCCCGCTGAGTCAGAGTCTGTATTCTTAGTTCTCTGCTGTTATTAAGATGTGCTGCTATTATATTAAGAAAAACAATGGGGCTGCAAAATTGTGGCATAAAGAAATTGTTTTTAAAGTTATAGTTACATTTTTACACACACTCTACATGGTCTTGAATGTCCATGTTGGTGGGGCGTTGCTGGTGTAGGCCATGTTAGGTTCAGTTCCCAACCTTGAGGCCAGCTGTGGCCACTGAGGGAGGGGGCGTGGCCCTGAGCTGCTGCAATTGGTCCAGTCTGGTATCAGTCATGACTAATGGGCCGATCTACCAGCTTTATTAACCAATAAGCATCATAATTAAAAAAACAAAACAAAAAACTGGCTGGACTCTGAAGACATTTATGAGCTCAGTTTCATAATGTTTTCTGTACTAAATAATTTACAATATAGAGTGCCGGTGTTACTAATTTTACAGCTCTTAATTGAGAAAATTGACTAAGTGAAAAAAAAATCACTTAATTTTCATTGATGTTGACCAGTTTTAAAACCTTAAATTGAATTCAATTGCAGTGCAATGTCCTGTCATCTATTTAGGATTTAATTTATTGAATCACCACTTCATAAGTTTTCTTTTGTTCTGAGCATGCCCTTAAACCGGTTTGCACATTAAAACTCAGTTGTCTGCTATTAAAGTGTCATATTTTAACTTAGAATAGGATCATAGATATTTCTTTTGGTTATAATGTATCATGAAAATGATACAAAAAATTGTCAACATTACATAAATGGTTGAAAAACTTTCCAGAAGTCAAAACCAACACATCTGCCTTCATAGACACTAATAAGAGCCTGAAAGCCTGTTGCCTGGTGACAGAATCATTTGAGACCGATGCTCTCTGTGGATGACCGATGCCCTGGATGGGTCTCCAACTTCTGCTTGATCAACATTTCATATGCACCTCTGTGTTTTCCACTTGTCAGAATCAGTGGGAATGTTGCGCGGTGCACACACACCCAATCAAACGGCGCTCTTAGTCACATCCACTAGTCCCAGCAATTTCTCTGCTATTGGAAACATCAGTCTCTAATCAGTGTGTCCAGCCTTCTGGCTTTCTAGCTTTTAATCTTGCCCCCACCCACACCTTCACTTTCTTTTTCCATTTCCCTGATCCACTCACCCACATTATCCATCTACCTCCTCCCCCCACACCCCCGGCCCCCAACAATGCTCTTTCTCACACGCAGCTCTTCCATTCATCTGTTATATTTCTATGACTCATCTTCATGAGTTTTCTAACCTTCTACCTCTGCCAAATGCACGGTCTACCTCTCTACTCTCATCCAGTGCATTTGTTCCTTTTTCCATCATCTGAACTAAACGTTAAAAGATGATAAGAGTGCAATAAATGTTGGCACCGAGCCCCTAAGCTCAGAAAAGCTGTCCATTTAGCCTAATGTAGAAACCACGAACACACTTGAAGGAGCAGTATTATGTCAAATGGACTTTTTGAGCTTTTCATCATGTTATAATGTTATGCCCTCATCAGAATCATACCTGGAGTGTTGCTTTGATTCTTTCATGCATGTTTCAGAAATCCTTTAATCTCCATGGCAACCATTCAGCCTCGGTGGACCTGCAGCTTCTCCTCAGAGCTGCAGTTTCCAAGCTTCCATCTCACAGAGCAGCCCTCCCCCACTCAGCTCCTTCAGACTAGCCAGCAGCATTAGCAAACACCTGCATCTCCTGAGCTCATTATATGAGCTACTTCTCAGAGCAACACTGGTGAAAACGTTGTTAAAGGGTTAATAGAGGAGCCATGTTGTGATGACTTCCTGAAGGCAGAGTTTCAGAAAAAGCAGGAGTTTTTAAA